TTCCAGAATGTTATTTTGATATCATGAAAAAATGTTTAAGTCTTGATCCATTTGAGCGACCTACTGCAGAACAACTTTATAAAACATTTGGGGGATGGTTATGCAAGGTATTAAATATTCCTAGCTCCAATATTGCTAAACAGTTTCAAGAACGAAAAAATTCGCAATTTATTGATGATAAGATTGAAGTTCATTCAGAAGCTACATATAATAGTAGATATTACAATTTTAAAGAACTTGAATTACCAAATATTACCTTTACTAAAACTAACGGATTAGATGAACATTTGGCTGTACGACAACATATAATAGATGAAACTAAATTATACAATATCAAATTAGAAATGATTCATGCAGAAAATTCTAGTATTGCAGCTAAAGTGCATGAATTATTAGATATTCCTAAATATGATACTAGTAAACAGTTTCAAAAAACTAAAGAACTACAATTTTTTGATAAAAAAGTTGAAGTTCATTCGGAAGTTACAGATAATAGTGATTTCAAAAAACTCAAATTACCAACTATTAGGTTTACTAAAACTAACATATTAGATGAAGATTTGGCAGTACGACTATATATTGCAGATGAAACTAAATTATACAATATTAAAGTAGAAATGATTCGTGCAGAAAATACTAATACTGCTGCTGCAATATATGAAATATTAAAAGATTTATAAATAGATATAGCGATAGCGATATGTAGATAATGTATTTTGATAATCATTTAAAAATTTCTAAAATTTATAACTTATAATTACTTTATTACTGTATTAGTTTATACATCTTTACCATGGAACTATCTTTGGTTTATTGATAATCACAAAATAACTCGACTACTTCATTAATAATTACTAAATACGTATATATATGTATAAATAAATATTTACTAGTGTTACATTATTGTTTTATATTTAAAATATTATACGTCCTGTGTTTCAGAAATTGATATTTTTAAAAACAAAGTTGTACTACGTACAATTCCGGGAAAGCATGTAAATAATGAAATACGTACAGGGTTTATCGTTATATCGCTCGATATAATTTACAAATTAAGGTCAATAGAATTTATCAATTAAAAATTCTTACTGTTCTAAGCCACTGTGTCTATGAAATATTTTTCGGGATTCCTCATGTGGCTTTTTTATAGCTTCATTATTGGCTACGTATTAAAACATCGGCAACTTCGGGTAAAATTATTACGCTAGCCGAATCATTTTATTAACCGTTTTACTAATTCAGTGTTATTTTGGGAGTAACTTAATTTTAACTCGGTAAAGAAATATTTAGAAATAATAGAAAAGTGATAGCATACTGTATTAAAAAATAAGAAAAAACTTTTTATAGATTGATTCAAAATTGTAGAATTTGGAATTGCTACGTATTAGGGTTTCTAAATACTGTAATTTTATCTACTGTATATTGAAGTTTCGATAAATTAGAATTTATCGTTCTGTAATTGAAACTTGTTATTATTTTGTTAAAAAATCACGTGCCTTAATCAAAATTTGAGTTACGTTCTTGATGCATTTTTAGTAAAATATTTTTGAACTTTGAGCAAAGATATCTCAATAACTATTCGACAAAATTAGATAATTTTTTTATTAGTAATTGCAAGAGGATCTTGATTCCAAATATTAAAAAATTCATTAAGTATATTTAAGGTTTGGGGTTGTAATTGTTGAGTGTTAGGGGTTTTCATTTTTAAATTTAAGCTATCTAGGGGTTTCTAATTTAAAAGGGTACTTATTTTAAGAATTTCTAATTTAAGTAAACTGTTGAGTAATGTTTATATTTATAAATTTTAATATATTACAAGAGAAAAGTTTAAAATATTTTATGAATTTGACATATAGATTCTATAAAGTTTCAAAAATTTTTTTAAAAATCTTATTTGTCTCTTACTATTACAGGTTACTAATTTTGTTTTTCATAATACTTTGCTAATTAGTCACTATTATAATATTTTAATCATATTTTTTCTTTTAAGATTTAGAGTTTATAAGTTCTATTATTTAATTCTAACTGTATTATAAAGGATTCTATTCTTTTGTCTTAAAATTTAGCTGATCTGGAATTTTCTAAGTTTTTTTTTTGTATTTATACTTTTTTCTAATTTCAAATTCTTCTTTTCAAATATTTATATCAAATCTGACTTTGTTTTTTTTAAATTTTTTTATATTTTTGTGAGCTTTACTATATTGATAAGGGAGTTTATTTATTAACTCAAATACTTATTATAATATACTATTTCTAAAATTATTTCTTTATCTACATCTATATTTTCTACAGAGATAAGAACTTTAATTAGTATTTTAGATTAGTATCTATAGGTTAATTAAAAAGAATTATATCTTATTATAGCATGTATTTTTGTCTTATATGCAAATAAGATAGCAGATATATGTATATTCTAGTCTTTATCTTGTTCTTTTACTTTTGTATAAGAATTACAAAATATTCTATTTAATCTTTTAACTATTCTATTTGTCTAAGGATAGTAAAGCAAAAAATATATATACTTAATTAAAAACTTTTTACAAAGTTTTTTAACTATTTTACTAGTAAAATTCTTTCTATTATCTAAAAGTATTACTTGGAGTACTCTATATCTACAAATAATATCTTTAAAAATAAATCTTACTAGGGTTTTTATATTTGTATCTGATATAGCTTTAGCTTCTAGTTATCTTGTTAAATAGTCAGTAGC